ATCAAGATGTTTTCTTGAGACATGTTGAGCTTCAAATAGATTCAGTTTCAATTTTGGACTTTGTTGTAATTCATAGAATTATGCTACTTTACTTGTAATTGATTTTTATACAAATTTTAGTATAATAACAATGCTTCTTAGCAATTGTAGGTTATATACATTCATGTTGATACACAGTAGGAGTAGGCATTTCTAGCTAAGTTCCTTATGTTAGGATTTGTTTCATTTTTCCTCTTCCATTTGATTTGCCTGATCTTGTTTATGGTTTCTAGTTCTAAATAGGAATCTCGGTTAGTTATTGTAGCATTTTCCCAAGTGAATGGTAGTTGGAACATTTTGTTTTTTGAAATAGAGATCACAAGACTCCAAAGTAGGCTTGACATTTTTCAAAGGACTTTTTAAATTGTAATTGGGATTCACTTAAGTAAATGTTTAGAGTGTCCAACCTTGGATTCTTTTCTGTGTTGTTTCCTTTCTTTGGTGTTTTGTTTCATTTTTTACAGTTCATAGCTTAGATTCTACAAATTCTTCCTTTAAGTTAGCTACGTGACCATTAGGTGCCGATTTTATTCCATTTAATTTCAGTTTGCATTGCTCTCAATTTAGTATGTTACCTTGCATTAGCATATTGCTTGTTGTATTCACTTTTTGCATGCAGTTAGTACCAAGTCAGATTTTGTTTTTGTTTACTTCACATAAGTAATCATATTCATCAACCTATATTTGAATGGAAATGTGCTCAACAATTCTTCCTTGCACCCTTTGTTAACTTTTTGAATAAATTCTTCCACTCTTTTCCTCAATTCATCATTGTTGTCATCTTTTTCACTTTTATCATCATCCTTTTCCTGTTCCACTTTTTCTACATAATCCACTTAATATGGTTTTTACTCATAATCATATTTGCATTATCTTTCACTATTTCTCTTGCATATTCTGGTTTTTAGGTGTGGTTTGAAATTGTAAAATATATTTGACAAGGATATCTCTAGTATTGGTAGCTTTTTAGGTGGTGGAAGGCCTTCCAGACTTTTAAATCATGGTTGTCCAAGTTAGAGACTACCAAGTTTCTCACACAAATACAATTATTAGAGAGAAAACTACTAAGAGCAACAAAAATGGAATGAAAGAGAGCTTCTACCTTTGTGCTATACACAAGCTGAGAGAGAAGTACAAACCATAAATCAACTCTGAGAGAGTGTTACAGTTTGTTAAGTACTTATTATCCAATTATGCACTAGAATGAAGATATGCAATTTGTAAAAGACACCTAAAAGTATCCACACAAGTTGTAATAGACTAGAAATGACTAAGAATGGAGTCAAGAAGTGATTCCTAACACAATATCTTGAAATCACTAGTAAAACCTTAAAAGGTCTACTAGAAATACACTAGAATAGTCAAAATTTGCAAACAGCACTAAACTAGCCTAAGAAACTTCAAAGAAATTGTCTTAACAAGTTTAGAATGGCAAAACATAGCTAATTATGAACTCACACTACAAAAACAACCTAGATCTCAAAATATGACAACCTAGAACCTAAAACTAGTAATTAGAATAGGCTAAAAGTGAAAATAATGCATAGTGTATTAAAGAACTAACCAAAACAGTAAAAAAATTATCTACACAAGTTTTAAAACATAAAAGAAAGATAAAAATGAGGACACAATTCGAAAATACAAAGAAAAACAGGATTCAGTTGGTGATGGTATTGACCCGCCTCTCCATGATAGACCATGGATTGAGCCTTATGGTTGAGGGTAAGACTTTAATCCCTTTTTAATAATTTTGATGTTTTAAGTTTGCCTTAATTCATTGACATTTATTTCTTTATATGAAGGTTTCTTCCATCCAGGGTTGCTTCCCAAGCCATCATACGATTAATTAAGCAACAATATTTGAGTCCATGGCCTACATGGGGAGTAATACCTACACATGATAGACAGTCATTCTGGCACTGTTTTAAGGTGAACAACTTATTAAACCAATTGTCATTCTTATTTTAGTATGTTCATTAATCAATGTTTGTTTTGTTTATTGTTTCAGATGAAGGTGTAGTGGAAACTTGAACATGAAACTCGAATACTAAGAAATTTTCACAGTAAAGCATCTCATCGGCTGTCAGAGATGTTTATGGATGCCCACAATGTAGGGGAGCGCCCTTACTGGTTGGGCAAGCATATATGGAACTCTTTACTCGTTCATTGGAATTCAGTAGAGTTTCACATAAGTGTGTTATAGCCCAGAGGAACAGAGCTTCTGAAAAGGGTGACACCCGGCATACCGGTGGGTCGACCATGGTTTATGAGCATGTCATTCGTATGATAAACCTTCATTACTTTTCGGTCTTTTTCATATATAACTTATGTATTTTCTATTTCATGTACACTTCTAACTCAAAATTATGTTACATGCACAATACTTGGGATGGGCGGTCCATGTTGATGAGGTCTTTGCATAGACTCATCTTGGAAGGAAACTAATGAATTCGTTGAAAGGTCTCAGATAACTCATATAAGTAAATAACATTACTACTACGAGTAATTTTTCCTTATGTTATTGTATCATTCCCTAACTTTGCTTTTAGTGTTTGAACAACAAGAATTTTCTACGAGACTTTCACACGTTAGATCCGAACATGAGTCAGCTCCTACACCAAATGATGCGAGTAATGAAGATAATTACATCCGTAGGACATTGTGTTGGGTCGATGTCTTTGGTGGGAAGAAAAAGGGACGAAGTGTAGAGTGTAGGACAACTTGCTGCAAACTATACAGCAGCAAGAGGAGGTACTCTGAAGCACCAACCTTCTTCTTCCACCACCACTGCTGACGAGGTCGTTGTCCGCCTCACGCAGGCACTAGAGCAACGTGACCAGGAATACACTAATTTGAGATTTGAGTTTACAAACATTAAGGCCTTAGTCATGAGAGTGTTGCCTGAAGCTTCACAGCTTCAGTCCACTATCCCTCTGACCCAACTATGACCCTTCCCGTCACCCGCCGTCCCAGAGCATCCTACATCAGTCCAGCCCACTCCAGTCCAGTCCAGATCATTCCAGCCCACAACAGTCCAACCCACACCAGGCCAGTAATCTACAGAGAAGCAGGATGATGAAGATCATTCGGAAGATGACTATGTAGATTTTTAGTCTTCTTTTGTTATTGAACATAGTTGTTAGAACATTTGGATGTTATTAGAATATTATGATTCAACTACATTACATTTGCTCATGTCTTTCAAACATATACATTGTTGGTCTAGATTAACATATTGTTTTATGTTTTATGTTTCATGTTTACTTTACAAATACAAGTTCTTATATTTGAATAATACAAGTGATGTTATATTGCTAAACTCAATCAATGATTGGATGATTCTGGGATGCATATTATGACGGTCTGTCTGTGTTTTGAAAATGTTATGCAGGTCTGTCTGTGTTGAACTTCTTATGCAGGTTTGTGTAGTTGGACAATAAATACAAATTTAACTTAATTTTGTTTAGTCCTTACCATCGACCTTTTTCTTCGCTAATTACAGACGGCCTTTGACCTTCAGTAATTACCAATGGCCTTTACCTTTGGTAATTACCAATGGTCATATCCTTCGATAATTAGCGACGGTAATATCTTTCGGTAATTACCAAAGGAAAAGACTGTCGGTAATTACTAAAAATCAAAGACCGTTGATAATAATTAGCGACAAAAGGTTTATTGACAGATATTTGGTCGTCGCTAATCCATCGGTAATACATTACCGACGGATTTTGGTTGTTTCCGATGGATTATGACAGTAAATAATGTCCTTCTTTTTTGTAGTTTGTATATTTAAAATAAATTTAATGTATGCAAACTGAAAATCAATTCACATTTACTAATATAAATAAAAAAACAAAAAAAATGTTTTAGTTTAAACAATTTACTTTGTTTAATTATCAAAATTACATTGAAAACAAATACTTAAATACATTTAATCTAAGAACACCTATTATGCATAACTTCATAATATGCTGATAATTTGTGTTTAATTAATAAGATATCCTATGTATTCGTAATTCTATTTGATTTTGTTACTATCATCGTCAAAAACAATATTTGTGATAAGTAATATAATTGCATAATTAGGATTTAAAATGCAAAGCAATGGATAAAATAAAAGAAACCAGTATAAATCAATTTACATGCTCACCTACCAACCCATGTGATTTAAGCACGTGGTCATTGTTCATAGATAAAGATAAAAACCCCAACCCATATGATTTCACCAATCACTAACCACCCAAAATTATCCCATTAACTCTTTTAAACTTTTCCCCAACATCAGGAACCATCCATTCAAACCAATTACCTAATTTCGATTTCATCTTAAATTTGTTTAGCCCTATTTCTTCCACTTCAACCTTATTTAAACATGATAGTTACGCGTTTGCCTCTAACTCCCACCATTCTAATTAATTACCATGCCTAATTATTGCAAGAAAAAAAAAACTTAACCCAACAGTTTAATTAGTTAAACGAATAGCCCTAGAAGGGTATACCTAATTAACTAAATACTGCATGAGAAGAAAAGGAAATTTAATAGACGGAGGTGATGGAATGGTTAAAATTAGAGATGGTAATGTAATATTAATATGGTAATAATAAGAAGAAGAGAGAAAGGTAAAAATATATAAAAATGATGAGACTATTATTATAAGGGTACCCTACAAAAGGGACGGTCACAAGGGCACGTGGTGGCTGATTCCCACTACTTATTAAACCACTGGCGACTTTCCAGTAACACCGTTCAAACCCAACCCCTCCTCCCAGCTGTTCATAGCTGTCCAATCTCTCTCTCATCCATGTGACCCCACTGCACAACACACATAGATGCAGATACCCCAGAGATTTATTGGGATTTTAAAACCTCCATAATCATTTTTTCTTATTCTTTTTCTTTAAAAAATCATTATTTCTTCTTCTTCTCCTCCTCCTTCCTTTCTTCCCTTTAACATTCCCTCACCTTGTATTAGACCCTTTGCCTCAAACCTTCTTCCCTTTAACATTCTTTCATTTGCAACTATATATAATTATATGTGCATATAGATAGACATAATATATACCAACATTGTGTTTTGTTTTGGTTTGGTTTGGTTGGTTTGGTTTGGTTTGGTTTGAGATATTTATATACTTAGTCTTCTTCTGTTTCTTTCTCTCTAATTCTTCTTCTTCGTCATCTTCTTGAGAGATCGTGTTGATTGGTGTCACTCAAAATGGCTCAATTGCCACCAAAAGTTCCAAACATGACACCCAATTGGCCAGACTTTTCTTCTCCTCACCAAAAGATGCCTTCCCTCAAAACCATGGCACCAAACGTCTCAAACCAAAACCCTTCATGGGTGGATGAGTTTCTTGACTTCTCAGCCGCCAGACGCGGTGCTCACCGCCGCTCGGTGAGTGACTCCGTCGCCTTCCTGGAGGCACCAATGCTGGATCATCACTGCAAAAGCCGCGGGAGTGATGGTGGTGGTGACAATGAGAGCGAGTTCGAGAGGTTTGATGACGAACAATTCATGTCCATGTTCAGTGATGAGGCTTCAGGGAATAATAATAGTAATAATAATGACAATGATAATAATAATAATATCAACTACTACCATAGTAATAATAACACCATGATGGCACTCACGGTTTCCTGCTCCAACCCGTCTACACCCTCTGATCACAACAGCATCAACGATGAGAAGGAGATGATGAACAAGGAAAAGGAGGAGGAGCAAGAGAAGAAGCAAGTGAAGAATGAGTCAGATGAGGATGAAAGCCAATGCAAGCAAGAAATCACACAAAACCCCGATGATTGTAATAATAGTAACGCAAATGCAGCAACTTGTTCCAGTGAGAAAATCACAGACCCCAAGAGGGTCAAAAGGTATACTTAGTTAAACATTCATGTTCAATTCATGCTTTTAGTTCCTCGTAAACTTGCATTGCATTGACCCGTGTGATATTCAGTTCGGATAATAACGTTTCTCAAAACAAATGGATAATGTTTTAGTTACAACATTGAAACAAACAAGTAATGTACTATGTAAATATATATGTATTTCATGTTTGTTTTTTCTCTCGATAATATGAATACCTGTGACTATTTAATGTTTATGGATTACTCTTGTGGAAAACATGCTCTTCATGATATTCATCATCTGATTCCTGTTTTGCATTATCTCAGAATCTTGGCAAATAGACAATCGGCACAGAGATCAAGAGTGAGGAAGCTGCAATACATTTCTGAGCTTGAACGAAGTGTGACTTCATTACAGGTGCATTTAGTTGACTGTAAAAAGTTATATACAAGGCTTATGATATAATTAGATAGAATTAACAATTAGCAATTTACATGGTTTTGTTTGGCTTAACTGTTGATTCTCATGATAAATGAAGGCTGAAGTTTCTGTATTGTCTCCGCGAGTTGCATTTTTGGATCATCAACGTTTGCTTCTAAATGTTGACAACAGTGCTTTGAAGCAAAGAATCGCCGCGCTGGCCCAAGACAAGATCTTCAAAGATGGTACTTGCTTTACATGTTATCTTCTATTATTAAACTATATCATCATCTGCAGAAATCTTCTTTAGGAAACCAATTGTTGAATTAATTACTTATCATTTTGTTAATGTTGAAACGGCTGAGAGAGCCGAATGTTAATAACCTTCTGATTAAGGCTAACTTAGTAAATCGTACATTATTATCAATTAGATTGCATAAGCAAAAAAACTATATATATAGTAAATGGTAAGGGGTTGGTTTTTCATATCTAACTTGAAGGGAAAGTAATTATACTGTTTTTTTTCTAAAGTTAATATGTCTATTTCTGAAATCCTTTTATGTCAACTACTGTCAGTATCATGGACAGCACCTGTGTATGATAAAGAGTTAGTTTCAAGCTTTTAGAGTTAAGTTCACGAGAAAAAAAAATATATGATAAATAAAACACTTTTTTTGTATCTAACCTGTACTTTTCGAATTCAATAACAATAAGCATGCTACTCCTCGAAGTTGGTCTAGTATTCAGGATCATAAAAATTAAATACATTGTACTGTTTGCCTCTTTTTAGTGCAAGTTATTAAGAAAACTAGGTGTATAATTTTGTTCCTTCGAAAGGCAAAAGAAATAGGCCAATTATTAAGTTGCAGAGTAATGTTGATTTTAGTGAAAAAAAGGGTTGCATGCAAAGCATATCTAGATCAGTGTGCTAATCATGCATGTTGATTTTAGTCATTAAGCACGCAGTTATATATAAATAATGCAATCACGTACACAAATATATATAAATATATAAATGCAGCACATCAAGAAGCACTGAAGAGGGAGATAGAGAGACTGAGGCAAGTGTATCACCAACAAAACATAAAGAAGATGGACAATGCTGCAGGATCAACATCCCAATCACCATTACCATCTCCAAAACCACGATGTGACACACTCACTGAAAAGGAACAACTTATCAATGTCTGAAGTTTGAACCCTCCCTTGAACACTGACTCAACCTGTGTAGACTTTGATCAAACATGTCAAACATGTAAGCTAGCTTAGATGATCTGTGATTCCTTTCAATTTTAGAAAAGAAATTGCAGAGTTATGGAAATGGAAGAAAAGAAAAGAAAAGAAAAATTGAAATACGAGTTTATAAGAGTATTGTTGTTGAATCAGAATATTAAACTTGATCTGAAGAAAAGATTTGATGAAATATGAATGCAGATTATGGATTGTGATAGAAGAATAAGACTAAAAGTAGTTATAAAAGTTGGTAAGAAGAAAAAGGGTGATGAATGGCATGACGTAGTGAAGGGTAGGAAGAGGGTGAGAGATTTTATTAGGCAATTGATGAAGGAAATGTTCATAATGGGGACATTGCAATTGGTGGTGGTAGGCTTTTGCTATCAAACTGAGGCAGTCACGTGATGTGTTTGCTTTAAAGAAAGGGACCACTCAAGTTGCATGATTGGAATGCAGGGAAACACATGTGCACCAGTGACATCAAAGAAAGGGTGGAAGAAAAAAACAGTTGTGTCTGCTTTAACTACATGGGAGAGGGAGGTATCTGTCGGAGATTCTTTCAGTTTTTTTTTTCTTTTTTTTTTATAATGATGTGTTATTGTTCCTTGTCTTGAATCTGGATTCTTTTCGATTTTTGTTTATATTTTGTTGGGGGGCTTCAGTTCAAGTTGGAAAACAAAGACTAGTGGACGTGTGTGTTGGGATGGATGAAAGGAAGGTATGTCATTGTCAGTGAAAGTGTTGGCTCCTCTGGGTTTTGTTGTACTTTGTGTTACTGCTTCGAAGGGTTGTGATTATCTTTATTTGACGTGTTAATTTGAAGGGGGAAGAAAAAATCAAAGTGTAAATATTTAGTTAACTTGATTAAATTCTTGTAGTATATGGTGTTGTTTTTTTAACTGTTGCAAGAACTTTATTTGTTATGGATTTGATCATATATATACTCTCATAAACGAGTGGAAACTAGCTGTTTAAATTTCATTTGAGGATCAAAAACTGAACAGCAGAGAAAACATATCTCAAAGAAAGGTGGTGTGGAGGGAGGAAGAAATAGGGACAAAATAACAAGAGAAAATAATTAATGTGATGAAAAATGTTAAAAAAATATTAAAAAATGAGATAAAGTGTGTGAAAAAAAGAGGAGTTAATGTGTGATGATATCGTCTAATTATATATGGTGAAGGATAAGTGTTAAACAAATTTATTAAATTTGAATTAAAAAAAATGTAGAGTCACAGTTATTCCTTGGGATTAATTAAGGAAATATTGTATATAATATATAGTGAACCCGGAGTTATGATTTTAAGCCAAACGAGAGGTAGAATTTTAATGAAAAAACAAATGCAAACTAATAATACCGATTCTTATATAAGTTGAGTCTGCAGTTGAACTTTCTAACACAAGAATTCGCCTTTTACAATCATGCTATGGAATTTCAAATTTTTTGGTTTAGTAAGATCAAACAAATGATTAATTTAATACGAATTCGAAAATGCTTCATTTCTATAGAAAACACATGACACAAAAAATAGGTATTTATGTTAGGAAAACGATATAGAGGTTTTTGACAATATTTTGACACGATCATGTGTCAGTTACTTATTGGTCCATTTTTTAATTTATTTATGCAGACGTGGAAACTAAAATTTACAGAAGTTTAATGGCGTACTGTTTGTAAAGTTTCGAGTTTTCATTTTTCTTTCGCAAACCTTCCTTGAGACTCGGCTATTCAACCTTTCTTCCTTTTATTTTGCTTGTGCATTGATATGTTTTGTGGTTCATGGTCATTTTGAAAGGTGAATTTTTGGACTTTCAGCCCCTAAAATTTAGGTTAAGATCGAACTATTTTGGCTTACCAGTTCTTCATTCTAAGTCAAGACCTCATTTTTTATTGGCTGGTTTCTCTTGGTTGTTGGGCACCTTTTTCGACTGAGCATTGTTCCAAGTGTTCTTTGTTTTTTCTATGTTTTGTCTTTCCGTCATTCTTGCAAATTTAACTAAGTTGGTTGGTGATGTGAATCAAAAGGTTAACTATGGAATAAAAAGCTTTTATTGAAAACACACCTTTGGTTGGTTGATAAGTATGAACGATTTCGTGAAGATTAGTAGGAATGTCTTGTCTGAGTTATGTGGTAGATGGATTGAAAGGAGGGGTGAGTTTTCTTTTGGGGAAAAATTTGTTGAATTTAATGTATTAAATGTATGTTTAAGATTAAGCTGAGGAAAGAACAAATTGATTTAAATTAGGTTGGTGTAGACAGTGAATATAGGAAATACTTTAGTGGTGGAAAAGTTGATGTTATTGTTATTTATGATATTTTGTTGCAAGAACATCCAAATGTTTCTATAAGAACATTTTTGTAGTATTTATATTTTGTTAGGGATATCTGAGTTTTTGTTATCAAATCATGATAAAATAGTTTATCTGATACTTTTTAACATCCTTTACGACTTCGAGTATGTTGGTAAATATAATTAGGATAGTTTAGCTTGTGAGCATTTGGTAGGGAGCTTGTGTAGCGCTTTAATAGCATTAAAGAATAAAAAACAATAACTTACTTTCATGTTGTTGGATGCGTTTAAAGAAGAGTTGTATCATTCTTTTGTCAAAGCAGCATTTGAAAAATATGGTGTGAGATTTAAGAAACAAAATAGTATAGATAAGTAACATTTTATCCATGTTGTACAAGAACAAGAAAAGGTTGTTCGTGAACTCGAAGTTTTTGTTTCTAGGTTAGAAAAATTGGTTGAAGAAAGGACTAAAGAGCAACCTATGGAAAATATGGACGAAGATGGTGGTGCAAGTGTCGATGAGTGTGAATTTCCTATAGTAGATAACATTTTTGGTTGTGGAGCTACATTGGTTGAACATCAGCACGACATCATGGAGGTTTAAGATAAGGTTCATACATACCAAAGCAATATGTGTATGTGAATGAAGGTTGGACCACAAGGACGGTTCAAGAGTCATGCTATTAGAACCCCATTTACCGATTATGGGAGTAAAATGGACTGAAATAGTTAGATGGTGTTGACATTGTTGTACACTTTAGTAAAAGAACATTAATTTGTTAAATTGATGTTTTACACATTGTTGTATTGTGTAGTACAATTACCTGTAAATGTAATTGATGTTGTACAATTTTGTAGTACATTAATTTTAATTTGTTATGTTAAGTTCTACTGTGAGGAATTATATATGAGGTTTAATTGAAAATTGGTTTGAAGTAGTTCAAAATTTATTCATATCCTTAGATTTTGTCATGTTAATGTATGTGTGGAAAAAGTCCAAAAGAGATATCTAGTTTTTTGTACATTTCTAACCATTAATATATGATGTGTGGTTTAATAGTTATTATGTAAATAAAATAAAGTTATTAAAGAACTTTCTATTTATATAACGCAAACGGTATTTGTAGGAACAATATGTTGGTCTTTGATTATTTTTCATGAATAACAATTGTGAAACTGACATCATCATGACTATGTTAAATATAATAACAAACAACAAGAAAAATCATTACAGTCAAATTCATATGTAAAGTAGCGTTACATACGAGTTATATATGGATAAAAATATGTATGTAAAATAGTTATAGATAATGTTACATATGAATATTTGCATATGTAATTAGAGGCGAATTTATTTGTATGTCATTACATATCAATTTTTCGCATGTAATTCCATATGAATTTTTCTGTATATAATTACATATAGATATATTTGTATGTAATTATATACGAAAAAATTCATATTTAATTACATACAAATATATTCATGTGCAATTACATACGGAAAAATTTGTATGTAATTACATACGGATATATCCGCATGTAATTGCATACGGATATATTCGTATGTAATCGCCTAACAAAATGACACAAAAAAATTGCTTGTATTAGTGTAATTTATTGACAAACCTAGACATATATATAAGAAAGGATCCATCACATGCACATTGAACACTTAAACCTCAAACAAATATTTCACATTTAATACATAAACATGATTGTCAATTATATAAAAGAACATTGTAATAAAGTCACACAGATACGTTCTAAAATGCCTAATGCTAATAATCACGATAATCATTTTGTTCATTTTGTGGTTGATATTTTGGTTGAACGTCATTGCCTGGCTGATTTTGTTGTTCATTATTTTACAGTTGAAAAAATTGTTATGCAGCTAGAGCTCCCAGAGGCTGAAGGTCATGATGACGCCAATAAAACTTTGAAATTTAGAATTCATTTGTCAAATCTGTTGATCATAGCTTACTAATTGCATTTGAAGTTGAATAAAGTCCTCTACATTTGGTTGCTGACTAGAAGATTCTCATGTTTGTTGTATGTAATTGTTGACGCAGTCATCTTGAGAACCCACATTTCCAATCTCATATATGCTTCCTTTGTACCTTCTACCCACACCATCTAACCAACATTTGTTCCTCAACCTTTCCTCCTTTACAGGGTTTAAGGGACTGCATTTTGAGACACCAACAAATGTATCAACACCCAATTTCGTACGGGTAAGTCAATAAAGATAAAAAAAATCAAAATAAACAAAATAAAAGAATAATAATTAATGGTGGGTAAAGAGAAAAAAGGAAGGAAAAATAAAATAATTTTCCTTAAAAGAATGTAAATAATTTTCAAACTTTTTGAAATATTTTTTAAATATTGGTTTCTAGATAAAGAAATGTTTAATATGGTAATAATTTGAATCAATATTATGTCAATAATTATAAGCAATAATTAAAAATAATATATTGATATTATACTATAATTTGTTGTATTAGTTTCTTTTTAAAAAGAGAAGAAATATGATTTTAAAAATTGACAAAGTTTCTCACAATAATTATAATAATGTCTTGAATTTTATTTGATTTGTTTTCTTTTTGCAACCAAGACAATTTCTTTCCCTATTTTGTTCATGGTCAATTAATTAACAATTAAGGTAAGATTACCATAATATTATAATATGTGTATATAAATACGCACCCTGTCAAAGAAAAAGGGGACGAAAAAAATAGAGAGAGACACTAGAAATAATACTGATAGAAAGAGAGGAAGAGAGTATAGAGGAAAATAAGTTATCACGCAAGAGGGGCTCTGTCAACATAAACTACCAAGGAAGAACTAGGAGAATACCAAAAGCTGAAAAAGTATGTCACCTTTTCTATTTTGATTGTACTTTGAATTTTTTTTCTAAAGGTATTATTTTTTTTACTAAACACAAATAATTTTTTTTAAAAAACATAAAAATAATATCTTTCCTCATTTCTTTTGGTACTGGTTACATCTCTCGCATCACGTTATATTTATTTTAAATTTTATAAAAAAAATAATAAATAAAAATATTTCCAAAAAAATACATGTACGTGTCAGCATATGACCGATTTCTTTCCTTATTTTTCCATCATTCTTAAAATTAAAAAAATAAAAAATCTTAAACAAAAAACAAAAAAATACAATATTGTTAAACCAACTTT